GATGTGTTCTTCAAGAGTCGTTCACGAAAATTGACTGCTTCTATTTTTGTCTTGAATTTAACCTGAAACCTTCGAACAGCAAAAAAGAAAAAAAAATTTGCAAAATTTATTTAATCTTTCGTTTGTTAACATTTTCTTTCTTTTTGTCTCTTGCTCGAACAAAAAACACATCTAGAAAAAGATGCTGTTTCAAGTACGTTTTTTTAAATATATAAATGCCATACAATGAATTTTGGCACCATTACAATAGAGGAAAAAAAGAAAAAGAACTTTATTTCTTGTTATTTTTTTTTCTCCCATTTTACCTTATATATCTCTTGTTTTATTTTATTGTTTTGCATGCTATGTAAGCTTAGCTTAGTTTCAACACAGGGCCACAAGTACAGGACACCCGGTGAAGATCAAATTCATTACTACAGAAGTAATGATACACAAGACTAGCTTGTAAATCATTATATCAGTGTTTTTAATGGTATTGTTGAGATTTTTGAATAGAAGCGAATCACTTGGCATCTTAATTTATTTTTTACATTGAATACAAAGACAAAAATATATTAACAATTTGTCTTGTAATAAAGAACAACAATGATCTCGATACAAGCTTATATGTAAATTTTTAGAGTAATGGAGTTTTTATTCATTAATCCGACAGTTTTTATCACTTTAAGCACTATTTTTTTTTTAGTGAAAACTCATATTTGAGTAGATACTGCATTTATTTAAACAGTTTATTTATTTATTAGAGAGTGCTTATCTTTCCTTAATATTCAGGCCAATAGACAAAAATAAATAAATATACGGTTTAATAAATAAACAGAGCATCTACTCGTATATGAGTATCCACTATAAATAATGTTTAAAGTGATAAAAGATTTTCTTTGGGTGGACAAGCACTTTTCATAACATTAAAAGTTTAACAATTATAATTGATTTTTATATATATATATATATATATATATATATATATATATAATAAAAAGACTTAACACTAATATTCCATGGTCATAATTTATTCCATTGGAATCGTAAATACGATCCAATTCATCAGACCTACAAATTCAATTATATTCTTACTCTGTCCTGGACATTGAGTTCTACCTGGATTCTATCCTCTCGGATTTTTTTATTAAAAAAATATACATGTATGTATATGCACCTATGTATATATATTTGTATATTTTGCATATGTATATTTACCACTAATATTATCTATCTATATATATAAATTTTTGAATGTGGAATTTATTTTGTTAGCTGATTTTTATTTATTATAATTTTATTTACTTATACAGTGTGTGACAGAAATACCTCACGCAAAAGGGTAAAACATTAAACGAAGGCACCATTTCCACTAATGTCTTACCATTATGTGGGAGGTATTTCTGCCACACATTGTGTTTTATATATATATATATATATATATATATATATATATATATATATATATATAAGGTGGGTAAAAGGAGGAGCTCTTTCCGTATAAATTTCTGAGGAAATTAGACCTCCTGGCTCAATCCGCTCCCGTCTTTATGGCCTTCCAAAAATCTATAAAGATGGGGTACCTTTAAGACGCATACTCTCTATTACAAGGCCTTCTCAAAATAAGATCGCCGAATGCTTCGCTATAGTGTTGCAACCTGTTTTACTGCATTATAGTTCTTTCTGTATAAAGGATTCTCTTTCCTTTACAGATACTATCCAGAATTATTCTTCTGGTAAGTTCATGTATTGACCTGATGTGTGCTCTTTATTTACTTGTATTCCACTTTTGGATACAATTGATATTTGTTGTGATTTTCTTTATCGCAGCTCTTTGTCCCTTCCAGATATTCCTGAAAAAGTGTTCTTTGAACTGGCGAAATTCGCCAACTCATCTGTTGAATGTAGCTTTGATAACATTGTGCATCAACAGATTGATGGTCTTGCCATGGGTCTTCCTTTGGGCCCTGCACTGACAAATAGATTTGTTGGTTTTCATGAGGAGAGATTGCTTTGTTAGTTCACTTCGTCCTCAATTGTCGGTATTTGGACAATATTTTTTGTTTATTTAATGATGACGCTGAAGCGGATCAATTTCTCTCCTCTTTCAATAGTCTTAAACCAGCTTTGACGTTTATGGTCGAGAAAGAGCCCAGTTCTCAACTTGCTTTTTTCAATGTATTGGTGCATCATACTCCAACATCATTTTTGACCTTAGTATATAGAAAGTCTACTTTTGCTTGTTTGTACACGCGTTGGGATTCCTTTTGTTCTAAGAAGAGGGAGATAAACCTCATCAAAACTTTGATGCATAGGGTATTAATGATTTGTTCTGAGTTTTTCCTGGATAGTGAAATAGATTTTGTGACGAGAACACTATGTAGCAATGGATATTCGCCTAATATTGTGCATTCTGTCATTCGTGACAAGCCCGCTATGATAGAAAGGTGCCCTGTTTATTTGTGACTTCCTTCGATTGGAGCTGAATCTGAAGACCTCTCCAGGCAGGTCTAGTGTCCGCGATTGTTATTTTTCAGCTGAGGTTAGTGTCGTGTTCAATAGCAGGCCGATACTCCCATCTATTCGTAAAGATGTTCTCCCACCTAATCAAGTTAATTCTACTGTATATAAATACAATTGTGGTTGCGGAGTCAGCTACATAGGGAAGACTACCTAGCGACCAGACGTGAGGATAAAACAAGATCAGGAATCACACCTTGGTTTCAAATGAACTAATCCCAAATACCTATGGATCCTCAATTTGTGAGCACCTTTTAAAGAACAGTAAGTGTGCGGCTGAATTACTGTTTTGTCCCAGTCACACTCTTTATTTCATCTAAAAGTACTAGTCACTGTTTATCAAGTCTGGCAAACCGTCTCTGTAAACAGTGTGATTGTTTGCTGGGGCTTGCTATCATTAGTCTCTAATACCCACCATTTTTTCTCCCTTTTCTATCCTCTCATCAATCATTCGCTAATTTAATTTTATTGTATTTTTTTTTTTTTTTTACTCTTTTTCTCCCGGTTAAAAACTTTGAAGAGCGGGAGTGAAACTGGTTGTTTTCCACTTTCATTTTTTTTTTTTTTTTTTTAATTATGCCAGGTAATATTCAGTTTAATGTTTTTACAGCAATACTCAAGTTCTGTACCACTAAGCATGTGTGTGTGTGTGTATATATATATATATATATATATATATATATATATATATATATATATATATATATATAATTTTATTTGAACTTTTACGGTTTTAAAATCATGGCTAAGAGTTGCTCTTTATGGAATAAAAATGAACAATTAAGATAAAATTAAAACGAATGTTTCAGGCTATAATTAACCGAAAACAAAAACTGTACAATTTGAAAGAAAGGAAAAATTTATTTTGGGGAAATGTCATAAAATATAACTTTTTTTTTTTTTAAATAAAATTAAAAAAAAGGAGAACTGCACTGTTCCATGTACAATATTTCTTATAGAAGTTGGAATACTTGAGTTGTGTCAGTATAATGCTGCAGGTAGAAAGAACTGAACTCCACACAATCTAGCTAACCTTTATCTCATGACAAATGCTAATGCAGAGTGTGTGTGTGTGTGTGTGCGCGCATACGCATACACATCTATATATATATACATACATATGTGTGTATGTCAGGAAGAGAGCGAATGACCCTCATTAACTTTTCTAGGCACCCAATCTTCAGAGGAATACCCCCAGAGTTGGCCTATGCACATTGTCAAAAGCCTTTGAGATCAATGAAACAATGATAGAGGTCAAGTTATTTTTCTCTACACTTCTCCTGAACATGTCAGACAGTAAAAATCAGGTTTTCTAATTCAGTAGGAAGTTATTCCAGCCAAATCTGGAGAGAAGCAAAGTGATATTCTGGCACCTGTGCTATTTGCTATTCTTTTTACCATCATGACTCCTGCAGGCTTTTTCACAAAGCAATCCTGGCATATACATTCGCTATCACACATCAGGAACATCCATTGATTTGGTTCTAAGAAATCTGTTGCTCTGATTTGTGATGTTCTGTATGCTAACAACTGTGACCTTGTTACCCAGTGAGAGGGAATTGCAGCTACTTATGGAATGTTTTTCAACCATCCGTGAGGAATTTGGACCTACAGTCTCAAGAAAGCAGTCGTCATGCTGCAATCTGCACCAGGCGAAACCATGCATCTTTACCTATGATAAATATCAATGGCAAACAGTCAGAAATGTAGATACTTGTCTAGTTCGACAATACATTATCTAGATCCAGCACACTTGAAAGAGTGAACTCTTATAGACTCTTGAAGGCATGTGATGCATTTGGTAAACTGGAATCAAGGTTCTGGTCACAATCAAACAACAAAAGTTAAGATGTATAATGCGTGTGCGTTAATGCTGTACAGCTGTGAGACATGAACAACTTACTGGACATTTTCAGCACCTCAAGCACTTTCATCAGCATTGTCTGCTTAATATTCTAAAAATCTCATGACAATCATGTGCCCGATACAAGAGTGTTGCAGTTGGCAAGATAAGCAAGTACTGAGTCCATGGTTATGAAACACCAACTGAGATGATTTGGTCACCTTGTCCACTTAGAAGACTCATGCATGCCTAAACAGGTTATGTATGGAGAGTTAGCACAGAGAAAATGATCACAGTGTAAGTCTCACAAGCACTATAAAGACAATCTGAAGGACACACTCAAAAAAGACACAGATTTAGACACCTGGGAAGAACTTGCATCAGATCGGTAAACAAAGAAAAATCCAATTGCTACCAGTGCCAAGAATTTTGAGAACAGCAGAAAAGGATATGCACAACACAAACATGCAGGCATCAACCCTCTCCCAGAATGCGGATTAAAGGAATCTTATCTTATGTGATCAATGTGACTGCATTTGCTTTTCAAAAGCAGGTCTTCTTAGCCAGACAAAGCCATTGTGATGTCAACTACCAATATGACACCCCCAATAATGTACATGTCCAATCTGTCATAAATTGTGTCAATCAGCCAGAAGACTTACACAACATTTCCACAACCAGCATCCAGAAAAGCAAGCTGCCATGGGAAGACAAACATGTTGGGAATGGAGGAAGAACTGTGGGACACTTGCAGGTCTGAAAAGCTATTTGAGATATCAGCAATGAAGTGATACTTAAAATGTGTAAAAAAAAAAAAAAAAAAAAAAAGAAAGTTTGAGTGCAAAAGATGGTCTTACTCAGTCATGAGTTGACTTCCACTATGTATGTATGTATGTATGTATGTATGTATGTATGTATGTATATGTGTGTGGGAACGACAGAGAAATAAATACAGATTCCTATTTCCATGGCCATCACTTCAATAAAAACAAAGTTTTTGTGGGGATTTTTCAATTCATTTATTTGCTTTTAAATTGACACTATTTTGCCAGACAAGTTGGAATACAGGAAATGTTAGATATAAATTAGTTGAATACAAATAAATTCTTGACATTTCTCTTCAGGGCAATATTCAAGAAGGTAAAAAAAAAAAAAAAAAAAAAAAAAAAAAAAAAAGAGAAGATAAGCAAAAATAGATATATTTTGTGGTTTTATTTTAACAAAGTTGTTTTAAAAAAGTAGCCAAAATTTAATTTACTTTTATACAAATATAGTTGAAATAGTTCTTCTGGTTTTGTTTTAGTAAAAAATGGATATTAAAAAGTTTAAAGTTAATATACTACACCTTAGTATGAAAAAAAATTATAGGGGAAAAGAAAAAAGGTCAAATTCTTAAAAAGAGGAAAAATATTGTAAAGAGATATTCAGAAGGAATTTTCTATTGGCGATCCTTTACTCAATTTCATATTCCAAGAATATACTTTTAGAATTTTCAATATTGTTAATAACTTTTATGATGCAGAAAAATGATTAAAACAAACAAAATTTCATAAAGAAAAGTCATCATTTGACTTCTTGTACAATGTAGATATTTATTAAGCTTGACTTAGTCTGGCACAAGGCTAAAAGTGCAAGGCACCCAATGAAGAGAAGACAAACTAGACAGTAATTATGGTTTGCATGACAACCATTGCTTTATAGCGATTATCTCTTGTATGAGATAGTTATTAGCTTAGTCTGATACAATGACAATTTTAAAGCACCCAGTGAGGATCAAATTCACTACACAGTGAAAGTCTGCTAGGTTAGCTCATTAGCCATAACCCTGAGGGTAAAGTACCTTGTTATTTACTAATTGTAAATTAATTTTAGTGTCCAGCCACAAGTAAAAGCATCCAATGAGAATCAAACTCTCTACTCAGTAATAATGATCCTGTGAAACAAGTTTGACCATGCACTCATTAACTTAGTCTGACACAGGGCCATTATAGTGTCGCATTCAGTAAGGATTGAAGTCATTAGTCAAAAGAGTCTGCTATTACTCCATGACAAGGCATCCTGTCTCTTGCATAACAGAAAAAAAAAAAAATCATTTTTTATGAGACGAGCATGCTTAGTCATGTGACCATTTCAGAGTTTACAACCAATTCTTTCATTTGTTGCCATCTTATAAATGTTATCGCACACTGCATTCATAAAATGGAGAATAGATTTTGTTGAAAAATAAATTGATGAAAGAAAATTTTATATACATCTTCACTATTATCATTTTTTTTGTTTGTTAAGAACAGCTTTTAGATTTTGATTTAGTCAATCAGTTGTATGCTAAAGAAGCATTTTGATCATGATGTCAATAACCATAGCATAGTTATTTTTTCCACTTCAATAATTATCAATTAAGGAGTTTGTTATTCTCATAGCAATGATGCTTTGTTTTTACAGCAGGAAAGTCTCCAGTCAAAATGAAATAATAGAGGTTTATTGAATATAAAAACTTATCTACTATCCAAGATAGTGTTATTTAATCAAATATTTTTATACAGACTGATGTTTTCATTTTGATTGTTATAGTCACCTTTTAGCCATTATAGATGCACATCATAATTGGTAAGCTGGGAAGGTCTAACTGAACCCATTTTTAAATACAAAGGGGTAGATAGTTCTTATTTCCACATCCATGCTAAAGGAGGTAAACTTGTATCGGTTAATTCTATCTTTAGAATTCATCCTTGTGATGCCATCTCTTCTATTGAACAAGATTTTTTTTTATAGCCTAGTGAATAAAAACAGAATTACAATGCCACCACAAGAGATCCTCTAGGATGAACAGCAGAATGAGAACAATCTACTACTGTCGATTGAATAATGTGTTAGAAATTCCAAAGCTAACTACAACAGATACCTGAAGATCAGTGAATATAACAGCCCAAAAATTGCAACTATAACCACCAAAATGAAGACAAGTCCATGCATATCAATGTATAATAATTCATTTAAAAACTTCAGACAAAAATTGTCCAAAGGTTTTGCCATCATCAGATAACTAGTTATTTATTAACTGGATTCAAAGCTTTTTGACATTTATTTAAAAAGGAAATTATAGATAATTTTTATATTTAGTGCTAGATAATGCTATTTTAACAACCTACCCACCAATCTGTTCACGTTAGCATTTTTAATTAATGACTTTGTTGATACATTATTTTCTTCCACAGCAGTCATCAGGAATATCTACCTGTTAAGACAACTCTAGCAAAACTAATACAGACATAATTCATTTTATTTTGATCTATTAACTTGTTAAGCACAAGTCAATCAGCACCACTTTACCAGTTAGATTTGCTCACTAGGTGTCATGTTTTCATCTTGATAAATATTTTATATTGCATGTACATTTTTTCTATCTTTAGACCTACTGCTAGTGTATACTTAATAGAGCATAGTATGGTGTAAATATAACTTAAAATGTATTAAGAAACCAAAACATTGTATATGACTCACTTTGGTAGAATATTCTCTTAATTTTAGTTACCTGAAACTGAACCCAACATATCTCTGAGGTAGGCATGGGTAGATAATCAGTTTTCAAAATCATTTCACTTAAATGCCTCACCTGCATAGTGGGTTGCAAAATTGAGCACAGTTCAATTTCTCATAGGATGATGAGGCCAATGACAAAAGATTTTTCTTTATTGTCCAGAGTGTAAACTCTCTGACAATTCTTTTGAAATAAAAGAAAATTATAGAGAATTTCTGCATTTACTTGTCATTTTAAGCAAATGAAATTATTTTTTAAACTTCTTAACCACCTCCACCTAAATTACAAAATAGGAATTTAAGCTTTTAAGAATATCTCTTAAAATAAATCTGTAAAAACTAACCATTATTATTATTATTAGTTTTGATTAGTATTTTCTTCCAATGAACTATGAATTCACATTTTGCCTCAGGAAAGTCTGGTTAGCCATACCAGCTGCTCTTACCATTAAAGTTACAAGGAATTCTATGGTTGGTAGAAAATCAAAATTTCTTAAATCTACTCTTCACGCTTTCTTGATCTTTCAATGCTGCAATTGTTATAGTTTTTACTCTAGTAGCAACAATATTTTTAGATGAAGCTTTGTTAACTAGTATTTTAATTAATCTTGACTAATATCTTTCTTTTAGAATCACAGTATACAGCAGCAAGCAAAGAGATCAAAATAAAAATAATTACTATTCTGTCAGTGATTAATGTATTAATGGTTTTTAATTCTCAAACTTAACAGCTCATAAGTCACTCATTCCCTACCTATTTACTGCATTATAGATAGGTGATGTTATCTAAGTTTTTATAGACAAGTGTTGCTATCTTTCAGCATGTATTACTATTTCTTTGAAATATCTTACAAAACAGTTGACAAGGAAATAATCTTTTTTTTTTTAAAAGATATTTCTTGTTTGAAATGTTAGCTTGCAGATAAGTTTATAGATATAAATAATAGGAATGAGGGTAGATAAGGAAAATGACTAATGTTTTTCAGACTGTTGTTAATAATTATCCAAGTATGATGAAGTCGATTTGGATTTAATTAACATTTTTGATCAGTTTTAACCAATTTTGAATATTCTCTTATTCTTCCAGTGAAATTCAGTTTTTGAAAGTTATATCCTAAGATGACATTTACTCATTTTTTTTTTTTATTAGTCATTTGATTCTACATATGTATTTCAGATCAGGCTTTTCATTCTATCTTTTATATTTGAATTTATGGTACACAATTATTTTAGTTTCATTCTATATAGCTGGATATTGAAACAAAATCAACTACCTGAAGTCAATCTTAATAATTTCCTAAATTCATTTTAAAGGAAACTTTTAAAATTTGATGCCACATTATGACATGCTTGTCTTGCCACATAAGTGGAATTAAACTATTTTCGAGTTTAAAAGTGCCAGCTAAGACAATTTCCTATATATATATATATATATATATATATATATATATAAAAATTGTTAAAAATAATTTAAAACTTGGTTTCAGACTTGGTTATATTCTTTAACTAAATATGGTAAAAAAAAAAAAAAAAAAAAAAAAAAAAAAATTTAAATATTAAAAAAAAAAAATACATTTTGAAGTTTAACTCCTATTGAACATAATTCATTAATGAACCACAAAATTGAATTAAAGTACAAAAACAAAAGAAAAAAATGAAAGCAAGGTGGAGGAAAAAACTAATAAACACAAGGCAAACTCATAAGGATCAATCAATACAGAAAGCAAATATCATTTCAGAGCAAAATTTAAACAATTTTTTTTCCTCTTTTCCATTTTCGTTCCTTTTGTTAATCGTATCAGCAGTGGCATGTAGCCATATTAGCTTGATTCCATAGACCTAATCTAGAATATGCCATACCAGTACATGTGCTGGTAAATGCATGTGCACCAAAGTTACTCATTGATGCTGTGACCTTTGATTTTTCTTTCACCCTGCTACCCATCAAGAAGGTAGCAGTCAGGCTTCGGAGACTCAGACTTTGGTTAAACAAGTCGCCTTCAGAATGCAAACCTCTAAGTTGAAAACAGTTGCTTTTAGTTTGGCCACGATGAGGATCCTTTTGTGAGGGAAGAGAAAACAGGGTGTCGTTTTTCTTCAAGTAATAGGGCACATAGGCAGTTGAGGTGGCACCGGGATTGTAAAGGAAAGACGGATGTAATGATGAGGAGGAACCGGACGAGGATACAATGGTAGACAAATGAGACGGAACATTCTTAGACTGGATCAGGTTCACATCATCACTCGACAACTGGTTTTGCCTACTGTTGGACTTTCGCTCACTATGCCATTGGGACCAAGAACACTTCGCTAGCAGGTTCCTCTTTGAAGACACAGATATACGAGAGTAATTCGAAAGTAGATCAGCAGCACAGGGTTTGATTTCAGCAGTAAGTCGGGCAGCAGGATGATGGGCAGCAGGACGATGGGCAGCAGGACGATGGGCAGCAGAATGCCGAGCATTCTCACAGTGTTTGCAATGCCCACTTTCCTGCTTGGACTCCTGGTTGGAGGATGGTGAAGTCTTGAGAGAAAACAGAGTGACGAGGTTTAACAGAGCTGTGCTAATGGCAGGGTATTTCATCCTTGGCAGTTCATCAACAGACAAGCCTTTCTCGGACCAAGCACTTGAATTTGAAATCTGGGATGGTGCTAAGGGTTGGTTTTCAGACAGGTATCTGTAACTATTACCATTGGAAGATGCAGTGGAGGTTGTTGCCAGTATTGCTTGTGGTGATACAATTTCAGCAGTGTATAACGAATTCTCATCCCTCACAACTGGATTAGGGTTTTGGTCATAGTTTAGGGCAGATGGTGTCCAGAGTTTCCCAGGTGAAAGCTCCTCCTGGCCAGACGAAATAAATGCACCATTATCAGTTTTTTGTCCTTTCATATGCAGGGCATCACTAGCATGATGTTTACTCTCATCACTCTGTCTCCACAAAAAGTTCAAGTCACCTGGAAAGCCATAGCTGACGTACTCTAGACTGCTTGCTACCATCATTTGGTAAAGAAAGCTGCTTATTGACGATACAGAAGAAGGTAGTAACCAAGCAGGAGAAACTGAAAAAGGCAAACTCATGGCAGGGAGATCACAACCAATATCTTTCCTCATACCCAGAATGTTTACTGAAGAGACTGCATCATGGGAGATCACTGGCAAATTGAAGGGAAGTTCTGGCAATACAGTTGGTTGTTGAGTAAGAGCTGTCAATCTGGAAGTCATAGACACAGCCAGATATGAAGAAGTCAGCAATGTTAAAACACCAGCAACATAAGCCACAGTACTGACAGCAAACATCTAGAAAGAAAAAAAAAAAGTAATACATAAAAACGTTATCACATTTCCCAAAAGTTAGACATATAAACATAAAATTAATTTACATGCACCTGCACAATTATTATTAATAATTAAATTTCTTTCATCTTATTTCTGTAGTGGGTGCATAGCCTAGTGGTTAGGATGTTCAGCTTCTGACCACAAGACCTGGTTCAGAATCTCATGATAGTAGATTTGTTAGGAAAGTGATTTCTTCATAATAGAAGCTTGAGGAGATAATCCCAGTGTGTGGTATCATTGGAAAGTGACTGAAAACCATACCACAAGTTGACCCAAGTGAATAAATTGTGTATATGAAACTGTTTGGCAGTCATCAATGATCGTGATAGCATAAAGCCACAAATCATTGCATATTGATCTTGTTCAAACTGGTGATCATATGCTCTCTCTCCCAGAAACTAAGCTCTGATCACCAAGGTTGCAATATAAACCAGATTGCTTTTATAAGTGTCAAAGGAAAACAATGTACCTGAACAAGCAACAGGGTTTAGTTCGCTACCCCTAGCATACTTCAATATGAGTGGCCAAACATACAATTCTTCTTGCTCTGTAATCACAATTCATACTATCATCAGTAAACTCTACAGCCTAGAGGCTCATTCTTCAATTCCAATTAATTATGGTTACAGTCATTAAACAAGTTTAAGAATTTTGATAAAAATAATAACAGTAATAAGAGAAAAGAAATCCTGGACCTGATTAGTTAGCTCACCAACCAGCTTTTAACAAACAGATGATTAGCTGCAAACCCCATCCACTACTTTTTGCTATTTTAACCATAGCATTAAAGTGGATTCCACTCCAGGTTTTAATTCAGAGCTATCCTTCTCCTAGTCTAGTTGTCAATGCTAAAGAACCCAGTCTGCACTGCTATTTTACCAACAGCTGAAAGAAGTGATGGATTCATATCTTTCCCAAAGATCCAAAGTTAGCACAAACTGCTTCAACTAGAATTTTAACTACTCTCTAATTCCATTTTTGGTGCTGTTAACATATTTGCAACCTCCACAAATGATAGAAATACTATGCCAGAATTAATAAAATTATTCCTATTATGCAAATATAATTTTAAACAATAAGTCCAAATTTCTAAAATGCTATAGAAACTCACCTTAGCCAATTCCTGTCCCATGTGCTTGCAGATGTCACCATAGAAAGAACCCTGTGTCAGAGTCCACACATCTGTGTATGACAGCCAGCCACGCTTATAACTTTCATGAAAAGCTATTCTGGAAAAGTAAAGTTATTGTTGAGTGTCAGAGATTTGCTCAGTTTAACTCATGCTGAATTTCATTTTTATATTTGTAAAATTAATGACAATGCCCTAAAACATTTTTACATAGTATTTAAGTCTGATTTTTGCATGCAATGTCTAAGTATCTGAAAGGAAGATTATAGCTAGACATTAAAATACCTGTAGAATCAGCTAACTTAAAAAAATATATCTGGTAATTTACAACTGAATGATAATATTGTGGAAACTGCTCACAGTGAACTGGAGGAGGATTGCTTTTCAAGGGAAATAATTATTAAATACCAATTATAAAGCATTAATCCTTATCTACTTAGTTGATGTGCAGAAGCGATACCATAGCCAATGAGGATTTTCTGAGGCATGGTTATTGCTAGAGCAATAAAAATATTTGAGTGAAAAAAAGAAGAAAAAAAAGCAGCTCCCTTTTGCATATAATGAACAAAAAGTAGCATAATGTAATAGGAAAAAAAAATTCAATAATGAACTTTTTTTTCTCATGACAATTCTCTCTCAAAGACTAACCCAACAGGTCAGAGGGTTGTCTAGTAAGCCGTAGATGCAATACAATGTGATTAATATTGTTACAGAATGCAGAGGCTTGGCCAGGATAGTCAAAATAACTTGTGAGAACGGTATTCAGTGATTAATTGCTTTTGTCTCGGTTTTGGATATAAAACCAAAACAGCACAAAGACAGCAGAAGGCTGCACAAATTTTGAAGCATTGATACACTTCCCACAATCAGATTCAATAGAGAGACTAAGACTCAATGCTGAGGGATGATAAGCCAATGAGCGGCATGTGTTCCCTTGAAGTTGTTCCTCCAGTTACCTCCTAGAATTGATGCTAGCACGTCTGTCCCTCTCTAATAAAACGAATAAGAAAAAGAAACATCTATGAAGTGGCATTGGGATTCGAGGGGTTGAAGACAGTGATGACACAATGCAATATATAATCCCTATTGTAAAGCTCCAAATGTAACACAATGTGATTACTGAATTAAATCCATTGATGAAGAAAGCAATAATGTTGAAAAATAAATATTTGTTACAAAAAAAAAAAAAAAAAAAAAAACTATTAGGACTTATTGATGTACCTATGTTACTAACACATACACACACAACATAAGTAAGGACTACTTACTTCTTCTCAATAGTGTCTAATAGCTGCTTGAATTCATGTTCATGTACCATTAGTCTCCAATCCTGAAAAATAGCAAGTCTTATTAATATCAAGTAATGGGAATTATGTATTTATGCTAAGTATAAAACTGTGCTGGATGAAGCCAACTGATGTACAAGATATGATTTATAAACCACACTTGAAAACTGAACGCTACAGAAACAAATTTCAAAACCTGCATATTCTATAATTTTTAAGAATCATCATCAATCAAAAACTTCTTTTGACTCCTGAATCTATTGTGTTGATTTTATTACCATAATCAGTTAATCCATTCTACAATCCCAACCATCAGAATTTATAATCCTAACTGAAAAACTTTGAAGTATGTTATGAAGGTGAATTTGCATTTCCTTGTTGGATACATTTGTTTTTTTCTTGTACAGGAGAGTGCTGAAAATTTATTAAGTCATATTTCACAAAATATTGAAAGTCTTGTTTATATAACAACATCATAAATACCTAATTTAAATTTCAATTCAACATAAAAGAACATGAATTTTAAGGGAAGCATTATGATCTCTAATGATTATACCTGCAAAAGAAATATACCATGAACTGTTTTTCTAACTTTTATAAATATTTCTGTTTCAAGTTATTTTCTTTAGTTTTGATAAGTCAATACCATTTCAAGAGTTGGCTTTTGTATTTTCAGAATAACGAATTTAGACCTGAAAATTACATAGTAAAATTACCCCCCCCAAAAAATAATAGAATTAAGACAGAATTAGGCTTATTTCTTGAAACATTAAAATTCCTAATTGCTACATCTGAAAACAAATTTCTGTAAACTGCTTTACTAACTTATTTGTTTTTTTCATTACAGTGAAATTTGCAAAGTGGCATTATCAATTCAAGAGTTGTTTTAACTAGTAAACTTATTCTACAGGCTGATTTTTTAGAACAATTTGGATGAAATATTATGGTAATAATATATAGGTAGGTAAAATGGAATACGTGAAGACCAGTCAGATGTTTCAAATTTTATTGTCAACATTTCATTCAGTAAGAACATTAGAACAGAAGTTATTCTAATGATATGCTTACTGAATAAGATGTTGACAAAATAAAATTTTGGACACATCATTCTCTCCAATGTTACTTAAACACACAGAAAAACTTTTTAAAAAAATATGTGCAAAATTAATATTTAAGAAACAAAAAGTTAAGTTTATTTCATTAATGTATAGGGCTACTGTTGGCATGACAGTTTTTTTGGGGGGGAGGGGGGGAACACACAAGATTCTGGTCCTCAAATGAAGGTTAATTTTTTGGTCTAAAATTTGCTTGAATTTAATTCCAAGAATTTTTACAGTGAAGACACTAGGTAAGAGTTATTAAACTTAAGTTTTTCCATAATAAATAATTACTAACCAGCTTACATTGGTAACATTTTCAGGATAGCTTTTTACGATACTGTTAATTTCAGCTTATTCAGTATCTGTCTATATTTCTGAGACGAGGTATTATGTACATTATTTACATTATTCGGATTATTGTCCTTATCTTTGTTGCCATATTTATTACGTTTTGGCCATTGTACACTCCGGCCTTCTTCAGGTGGTTGGAACGTCGAACTGAACACTTTATTTTGCTCACTGGGGTAAACTGTTCTAATTCCACATGCCATGTTTAATGGATGTCAGTTATCAGTTATCTCCTGTTAATTCCCTTCTCAAAGTTCTCCACCGCCTTAACCAGGTATTGAACTCACACTCTCTGGGTCCTGTCACTGGATCTAAATAATGCCTTTATCTGCTGTACCATGACTAGATTACTTACAAGTGCTGCCAGGAAATCTTGTTCAAGTTGGTTTATATCGGCAGTTTCCATCATTCCAACAACAGCCCAATCTTCATTGAAAACTTCTTCATAAACTCCTTCATCATACAGATACTTGGAAGCCATCATCTAAAATGGAAGCACACAGAATTGAGTTCATGATAAAAACCTCTTGAAATTTTATCAGAAAACACCAGTCCACAATTCATCACAATTGGAAATCCATTATATCATTATATCCATTATATCAAGCAAAACAGAAAATCTCCCATTTACAAAGAATAATATCTGTTAGTTAATATTTGGTCTAACATGATTCAGGTGAATGCAGTTGTTTTTTTTTGTTTTTTTTTTTTTTAGCATTTCACCCCTAGCAAGGCAGGAAGCCACTAGCATGCAAGGGGTTAAAGAGGATTTGGAGCGAGAGCAGATAGGAATGATAGATGAGGAGAAGGATAGGGGATAGATCAAAGCAACTGGAGATGTCGCTCGACATTAAATTTGAATAGTTGGAGACTATAGCTATCAGGGAAACAGGAATAGGGAAGGGAGTTCCACAGACGAGAGGTGAGAGATAAGAAGCTATTAGAGTAGAAGAGGCAGCTACATTTAACAGTTTCAACAGTGAAAGGGTGAGAGCAGAATGCCAGCCTCGTGGGGACGCTTGAATTTATGGGAAGTCTGGGAACCAGCAAAAGCAGCTCATCGGAGCAATTACCATGAAAGTATTTAAAAAAAAAGACAGAGAGAGGCGACGGCACGTCTGTGAGAGAGCGACTGCAGACGAGATGCCAGACCAGGGCCAATTATATTGCATATCCATCTCTGGATCTTATCAAGAACCTCGAGGCAAACAGAAGGGGGTCCAGACCATATATGGCAGCAATACTCCATGAGTTGACATAATTGCAATATACAATCTTCCATGGTCAACAACTTAAGTAAAATGATATTCTAGAAATTCCTATCTCCTTTATTAATGTAAAATGAAATGTTTTTATTTCTATTAAAAGATGAGAGAGTTCAAAGAAATTAATTCTAGATTTTCTATCATCACCCCCCCCCAAAAAAAAACTTTATATGTCAAATATCAGAATCTTAAATGGTGGTTATCAACTCATTAAATGAGTATAACCATCGCTGACAAGTTTGATGTATGTTTGTGGTTCTGGTGAGAATGATAATGGCTCTTAAAGCCAGCAAAGGACTTGCAATGCTTATTCTAGATGTGGCAAACTAAGTTGTTTTGTACAGGGCCTGGCCTGTTTTGTAAAGTTTGTTCAGTTTGCTCATAGGTTTTAGTGTGACAAATGAGACCAGAGCAGTTTCTGTAAGTTTTCTGATATACCCTGCATAAGTTATTGCCAGCATAGTACTGGTCATAATTTGTGAAAGGTCAACTAACCCTGACTCTTCTTGTGACTAACAAAGCCTGCATTGAACAGACAGATGCTACCACATTCATCACATGAATTCCAAGAAGAAACTTTCTTGGCAAAAAACAACAAATGTGGGTTACAGTTTATATCAAAATGTTAAAGATACAAATACACTAAGAAGTATTTTTCCATCACCTCAGACATTTGTCTCCATTTATATTATTCTGATCTCAGATATACCGGGACAGCGTTGTACTGGTTTCATATCACCTCCTCTTAAATGAGGTCTTATAATCTGAAACTCTTTTCTTTCAAGGTTTCTCTGTAGTTCCAATATACACTCTATCAGGTCTATTATTCACTCACTGTAGCTTGGCACACAACAATCTACATCAAATAAGCACCCTCCAAAGTACAACTTTCTCTACTTATAGAGGAAGGGATCAGAATTACAATATCAATAACTTTCAATATATAGTAAAGTAGCACAATTTCTGTTGTGCCATATACCATTAAACTGTATGTTCAATGTTAGTGTTTATAGAGGAACAATGAACCTCACTTCTTATCAATATTTATTGTGTGTGTGTTAATGTATGAAACTGATAATTGCAGAGATGGGGGAAGCTAAGATTTTTCCAATATCATCATTCCTGAAAGAATTACTACTTTTCCAAGCCAACATTCATGACTATTAAAATGTTAGAAAATTTTAAGAAATGGTTAAATTCACAATCTCATGTTATTTAAAATATATGACACAAATTAATCCCAAACTAAAATAATTTAAATACAAATTTGTATTAAAAAAAAAATTTTTTTAAAGTCCATCACTTATTAACTTTTGTTTATTAGACATTGAATTGTGTCACTTTGTGGCTTCCATAGCATGTCTTTGGCTACCCTGATGAATATTTATGAGCATTCTTAAATTTAAGATCTTTTGAAAAGCCAATAACATTTTTGCTGTTATATATAATACTTAATAGAAAATAAAATCCTTGAATTTGCCACAATGAAGTCCCTCTGAGGACGATGTGCCAAGTTTTTTCTTTATCTTTATTCACAATAACAAATGTAAAAAAAAAAAAAAAAAAAAAAAAAAATACAAACAACCAACATATAAGGGAAAAAGAACAATGATAAAATAAAGTCAATGTAAAAAGGTGATGCAAAAAAGTGTTATATTTTTTTTTTGCTTATTGTTGAAATTTTTTTTTCACTTCCCCTCTTTATGGTGACTATTTTATCCTTCCTCTTTCTTTCTCATTCATACTTTTGTTTTTTTACATTTGTTATTGTAACACAGTATATTTTAGTTATACTTTAAATTTATTGTTAGTACTGAAGGATCGAATGCATTGTGCAGTTACTACTGAATTATTTAATTTTCATTTTCAGCACAAGTACAAATCAATAATATTGAAACTTTCTTTTTCCCCTCAACAGTAGAAATCTAGTGGACAGATGTCAAGCTACAAGTAATTAAACTAGCAACAATCTGACTAGTGACAAGAAATATCTATGATTAGGGAAAGTGTAGATGAAACTTGTCCAGTGTAAAACCATGAGAATTAATTACTGAAAATTAGGCACAAAGTTTCCTTAAAGGCAATTTTTAAGTTTGGATTTATTTCAGGTTTCTATCACCCCACCCCCAACAAAAAGCAAAATTTCATCAAGAATAACAGGCTTTTTTGTGATATAATCTTAAAGAGTAGCTGGTGAAATTTTCTCTAACACACTATAGAAGCAATATGCACTAATTACATTCATGAGCATTAGGTCTTTGGGGACAGAAGCATTTAAATGATAGCTTACCATTGAAATCAGGAAAAGATCAGCCGAAGAAATCTGCATCAGATATTCTGGGTTCTTATCTTTCAATCTGTTTACATAAATGATTCCTAGCATCACAGAGCAAGGAGACATCATGGCATGTCTGAGAGGATTAGAAAAAAAAAAAAAAAAAAAAAAAAAACAAACTCATCTTTCAATTTATTCAATAATAATAATAATAGCTGCTTAATATGAGGTAAAGAAGAAAAAGAGCATTTTCAGCATTCATACTAATGCCATCCACCACCAAAACAAATTAAACCAACTTTTTGCCACATTTGTTCTTTGCAAGAGGCAATACCAATAACCCTTATTTTGTACTAATACACTGTAGATAAAAAAAAACTATTTATGAAGTAAAATCACATTTATTAGTCTACTAAACATTAACTTTTTTTTATTATTTCAGGAAACCAATAGAATTTTTAGAATCCGAAAAAAATCCATTTACAAAGAAAACTACATTTTAACATACATTTCTTGGTTAAGTATTTTCAAAAGAAGAATGTTTGACATATCTGCACTGGAGATATTCTCAGGCAGAAAAAGATAATTTTAGCAAAAAATATTTAAAAAAAAAAAAAAAAAAAAAAAACTTATAATATTTCTGAAAAGAACTACATTACATCAGCATTTTAATCAAAATGAATAATAGCAATAAATTTTGTATTTAAACTATTATAAATTTTTTTAGAATTCACTACCTCATTAAAACATTCATTTACAGTTTTATAAATTAAAGTCACAAATGCTGCCAAAACTTAATTCTCATGAAAATATAAGAGGTAATGAAACCTATTAAGGGGGGGAAAAAAAGAACCGAAATTTGCATGTTGTCCTTTAGAGAATATATTTTTTTGAATAAATTGGGAAAGAAAAAAAAAAAAGTATACTCACTTAGTCATGGAGGAAGCCAAATACATATCCACTTTACCCAAAGACCTTGGAGCTGCATCTTGGAAAAACTTAACAGTGATTTCTGAAATATTGCAAACATTTTTGCTTAAGAAATCATAAACTGTAGCTACACACACACAAGGTTATTTAAATATAAGATATATATTTATAAATATTTTAAATGAACTTTCCCAAATATATTTGAAATCATTAAAAATAAATTATTAATAAAAAAGAAAATGTGGCTAATTTGATGAATAAAGTTATTTTAATTCTTTTAGCTTTAACATTATCTGACCTGATGAACAAGACAAATGCACACAAATGATATACATTTATAAAATTGAAAAAAGTGTGTTTATATGCAATACACAGCCAAGCTATTTCAAGGCCTCAAATTTGGTATGCATACCTATTGAACTCATGGGAATATTTTAAGCTAAAATCATAGTTTCCCATGGAATAAGGTGGGGCACCTCTATTTCTTTTGATATATGGATTTAATTTTCATATCAACAATTACTGACTGTAAAGCTGACATTTCTCTTATTGTTGCCCAGGAAAGAAAAATATTTGTGCACTTTGAATTTCACCAAAAAAAAAAAAAAAAAAAAAAAAAAAAAAAAAAAAATTCTACTTTTCCAGCTATTTCATCATTAGAAACTTACCTGAAACAGATGAAATCAATTTTTTAGCTTTTGCTAAAATGAAGACTTTAAATATTTTCAGTCCAAGCTATTTGCCAAATTCTGACTCAGATTTTTATTTGTGAGGCTTTTTGGTCAGGTCAGGAGCTTTTCACAACTCCCTTCCCTTGTATATCTTTACAAAGTTACCATAAGCTGGTATAAATAAATACAATAAATTCTTAATTAACAAAAAGACTATAAAATAGATATTTGTTACTTATAGATTTCATTTCTCTTGGCTTCGTATAAAAAGTTATGTGAAATAATTATATTTTGTTTCATTAAGCAGAAATTCAAACTGCAATAATTGAATGATAGACTTTTTTTTATGGCTTATCAACCCTTTCTGGGTTATTTAAAGCGGAGTCATTTTGAATTGTAAGAATAATTTTTAATGATTTTTCCAAATACAAGCCCTACTATTTAACCTATAGCGGGGATATGTATTCATACATGTCCCAAGGGTATTTGTGTGTAAGTGAATGTAATGAACTTGACTGGAAATCAAACTTAGCTCTCCGATTACTCATTCCAAGCCACTATTCTTTACACACCCACTCAAACTACAATAACTTACGCTTTATTTGTACCAATAATTTCATCAGCAGGTTTTTAGTTGCCTGAGAATAATAAACTGTATTATTTTGGCTCTTTCAATAAGCAACAGGAAAACTGCACACAACTATCTCACCAGTGGTCTTGTATAATTTGACTGAAAGAACTGACCACAGGCAGTTACTTCAGTTAGTAATTTAAAATTTTACATTCTGAAATAGTTTTGTGAAATGTACAAACTAAACAATTCAGTACAAGTGCTACTGGTACTATGTAACAATTCTAGCTGACACATGGTCAGGACATCAGCAACTTAAACAGTTACCTCACCAGATTGTTCTGGCAAGGAGGGTGGATAAACACCCAACTGGATTAAAAGTAGAACATATCAAAGAGTGGACAAAGCTTCTTGTAAGGCGGGGGTTCTCAACCTTTTTCATTCTATTGCCCCCTTTTCACTATTTTTCAAGATAATTGCCCATACCCATTTGTAAAAATATAAATTGAAATATTTTATATACATTACTTTTTAATTTGATTCTTGTAGTTGATACTTTGCTGCTAGAAATGTATTATTTGGTTTAAAATTTATAAGTTTTAGCCTTATATATCATCAAGTACATATATAAATTTTGTTTCTTTCTTTCATCAAGATTTTATTGATTACACTGAATTCACATTCAACCAAATAAGAGGTTGGAAAGCATAGCAGTATTTTAGTCATTTCAGACTACATATTCAGATACAGCTGTTTTGCTGGAATTGACAGACATAATTATGTTATTCCACTGCTTTTAAATTTGTACCTACATTCATCATTGTGCTTCAATAAGTTCCTCCTGTATATTTTCACTGACAGCTTCTATGTCACGACCAAAAGGATCTATCATCCACGGATGGAACTCTAATGAAAATAATTCTGAAAATCAACTAGCTAGTTCTTTCAATTTCACTAAATATTCTGTGTACATTTAATTAGTTTGTTCTGAGAGGTGTTCACTCACTTCTGTTAATTGTTATTGAAATTCTTCTTCTGTATATTAACTCAAAATAAGTCTAATTTTTCAGAAAAGGCTTTCAGAACACATTTGCAATCAAGCAATGTGCATAATTTACCATGAATCTGGAGGGAAACTTCATTGAACTTTCAAAAAATCCAAGCTAAAAAGTAAATGTCACATTTGTGATACCAGATTCCAAGGGCCAAATTTTTCTCACCCAAATTTTCCAAGAAATTAACTGTTGTACCAAATAGGTTTACAAATCTGGCCAGCCAGTTTCCTTTCAAAAACCAACAAGACTTCCGTATGGATAATAAGATTTATATGCTGTTCTTTGGTATCAATACAAAATTTTAAAAAGTCTGTCATATTTGCCGTGAGATTTTATTTTATTGACTGTTTTAATAACTACTTTCAATGACTCATGAAAATCAGGGCTAATAATTTTGGCAACTAAATGATGGGCAATGCGCCACACAATTCATAGCAAGATTAGGACATCTTTTTTTAACTGTGCAATAAATTCCCTTATGCTTACCAAACATACATGGAACCTCATCTGTTGTGCAGGATACCAAATATTCAAAGGGTACTTGATTTTCATCAAAGATTTTGCAGCTTCAAACAATGGATAATCCCGTGGTATTAGTTTCTAGAAGTTTCATGAACCACTGTTCACACAGTTTGCAGTAATCATCTATATAACAAACATATGCCATGAGAATGGCTCTATTATTGTTTATTGTAGATTCAGCAATCTGAATTGAGAATCTAGTGCTTTTTAATTTTTCAACTAGTTGGCTTTCCATATTTCATCAATTCTTCTCCGGATTGAATCATTGCTCAATGGCAATGCTTTTAAGGCATTTGCCAAATCATGCTGCAACATGATTTTCATGAGAATTTCAAAGGAAGGCTTAATAACGGTTTGTTAACTTTGTCAGGATGTTTTCTTTTTAAATGCTCTAAAAACCTTGATGGTGTTATCACTTCATTAGAAAATGAGCTGTTATAAATAAAGCATATGAGTTATCTTTGATCAAACACGCTTTCTACAAAGCCATAAGCCAGATACTCCTTTACATACTGTCTACTTTTCTTTTTGATACTCCTGATTGATAAAAAAAAGGGATAAAAATATAGGCACCAGGACAACTTGCCGTCAGGAATACTTAACTTTTTTTCATTTTTTAATTTTAAAATAAATATAAAATAAAATGATTATAATTATTTTTTTAATTTTTAAAATCGATATGAAGATAATAATTGTAATTGTTTTGTATTTTTAATATTAATACAAATAAAATGATTAAATTTAATCATTTTAATCTTTTTAAAATATAAATAAAATAATTGTAAATACTTATTTTTAATTTTTAAAATTTATAAAAATAAAAAGAGTTAAAATAAAAAGAGTTAAAAATAAAAAGAGTTAAAAAAAAAAAAAAAAAAAAAAATTGCTTTTCTTTGATTTTTTTTTATAAAAATTAAAATAAAATATTAATTTAATCATGTTAAAACCCAAAAAATACAAATTTCAAAAACGTTGCCCTGCTGGCAAGTTGTACCCTCTTGAAAAATACAACACAAACAATATTTTCAACCCAAAATTACTGTCACTAACACTTGATCTAATTATTTATATTATCACTGTGACTATACCAACATAAAAATTGGGCATCATCCACTTCTCACGATTACGCAGTGCAATGCGCAAATCTGTGAGTGATAGCAGACAACACTTGCTACCAGATAACAAATGAAATGTTTCAGAATCATTAGTTCAGTTGAAACATTTACAGATATGTAACTGTTTTACGAAAAAAAAGATATTTCTGCTGAATGTAGTATGATAAGCTATCATTAAAAGTAATTTGGACTTAAAGGGTGAAAGGCTTAATTTCATAAACAGATAAGAAAGCATAAATTTAGAAACGTTTATTAAAACAAACTCATAATTCTTACTTACGAATATTTCCACTTACTATAAAAAAAAAAAAAAAAAAGAACTGGTGAAAACTTATTGTCCCCCACTGAGAATGCCTGTCAACAGCTAACACAAGAAGTAGTATGAGGCTGTATAGCTATGTATACAGCCAGTGTAGTAATTATATGACATCACAAGGCGGAGGGCTTTCTAGACTGAAGTCAAGAGCCACATGTCCATGACCAAGATGAGCCTTCAAACTGGATATCTATTGGCTGTGGTTTGAATTGAAGAGGAATGGGCTTCCAAAGATCTACTTCTCCAAGACCCACTATGTATAAATTAATATATTTCTGGCTTTCAACCCTGATATGTAGAAGGAACTAACTGGCCAGGTACGATCACACCTGGTCATGGGACCGATGATTACAAACTAAACAGTTTGGATAGGAATATGAAAAAAAAAAAAACTAAAACAAATCAAATATGATTAAGTTTGATTTGAGCAAAAGACTATATAGATATTCATTATAATTATAGTCTATAATTAGACTACATAGATATTCATTATAAAATCTTGTATCTTCTAACAAACATAATAATAAAAAGCCTTGTATGAGTGCATTAGAAGAATAGAGAAACTGCAATGTTCTGGTTCATGGTTATGCACACAACAGAAAAGACAAGAATGGACAAGAACTTTTAAGGTTTGCTTAATATTTAATAATTTTGCAAAGAATTATTGTTCTTTTTCTGCTACACTGATTATTTGTCTTTGTTCTATTGTGCTATGACTTTGTTCAGGGGTGTAATAAATATAATGTAAATGTATTTACAGAAATAAAATATTGATTGAAGCAAATATATTTTAATGTTGTTGCCAATGACTTCAATTATTTTTTGAAGCACT